CACGCTTTCCAGGAGCTTAAACATCGCCTCCAGACGCCTCCGTTACTTGCCCATTTCGACGAATTCGCCGAGACAGAAATACATACTGACGCAAGCAGCGTAGGTCTTGGCGCCGTTCTTGTGCAGAGGGCTGACGGACTTGAAAGGGTTATTAGTTACGCCAGCCGATCGCTATCCGAAGCAGAAGCAAATTATTCCACAACAGAAAAGGAGTGCCTCGCCATCATCTGGGCTACGTCGAAATTTCGCCCCTACCTCTACGGCAGGCCCTTCAAAGTTGTGAGTGACCACCACGCCTTGTGTTGGCTAGCCACCTTGAAGGACCCTTCAGGTCGCCTCGCCCGATGGAGCCTGAGACTTCAAGAATATGACATTACTGTCATTTACAAGTCCGGCAAAAAACACTCCGACGCTGACTGTCTCTCTCGTGCGCCTGTCGACCAACCGCTACCCGACGACTCGGATGACGACTACTTCTTGGGAACGATAACTACCGACGACTTCGCTGAACGACAGCGGGCCGACCCGGAACTTAAAGCCCTAATAGAATACCTCGAAGGCGGGACCACCGAAGTCCCGAAGGTATTCAAGCGCGCACTTGCGTCGTTCTTTCTACGAAACGGTCTTCTACAAAAGAAAAATTTTTCACCGCTTCGAGCTAAGTACCTCCTTGTGGTGCCTTCAGCTCTGCGACCAGAACTCCTGCAGGCCCTGCACGACGACCCGACGGCAGGGCACCTCGGTGTTTCTCGCACGCTCGCGAGGATACAAGAAAGGTACTACTGGCCACGTCTTACCACCGACGTCACTCGTTATGTGAGGACATGCCGGGACTGTCAGCGACGCAAGACACCGCCGACAAGGCCAGCGGGACTTCTGCAGCCAATTGATCCACCTTGCCGACCTTTCCAGCAGATTGATATGGACCTACTGGGGCCGTTCCCGACGTCGGCTTTCGGAAACAAGTGGATCGTGGTTGCTACCGACTACCTCACCCGCTACGCCGAGACAAAAGCCCTGCCAAAAGGCAGTGCATCCGAGGTAGCTAAGTTTTTCGTCGAAAATATCGTCCTACGTCACGGCGCCCCGGAGGTCCTTATCACCGACAGAGGAACGGCATTCACTTCCGACTTAACTCAAGCGATCTTGGCATACAGCCAAACAAACCACCGCCGGACGACAGCGTACCACCCACAGACCAACGGCCTCACCGAGCGGCTTAACAAGACGATCGCCGACATGCTGTCAATGTACGTCGATGTCGAACACAAGACGTGGGACACCATTCTTCCGTATGTGACCTTCGCATACAACACGGCGGTGCAGGAGACGACGCAGATATCTCCATACAAATTGGTCTACGGAAGGAGCCCGGCAACGACGCTCGATGCCATGTTACCCAACATCACCGACGAAGAAAACCTTAAGTTGAGCGAGTACCTTCAATGCGCCGAAGAAGCCCGACAACTTGCGCGTCTTCGTATCAAGAATCAACAGACGACCGACAGCCACCGTTACAACCTTCGACGACGCTTCGTGGAATACCAGCCCGGTGAACGTGTTTGGGTGTGGACGCCGATACGCCGACGTGGACTAAGTGAAAAGCTTCTGCGACGGTACTTCGGACCATACAAGGTGGTTCGACGTCTCGGCCCACTTGATTACGAGGTTGTCCCCGACGGCATCACGAACTGTCAACGACGCCGATCGCGACCTGAAGTCGTCCATGTCGCGCGCCTCAAGCCGTTTCATGCACGTTAACAAACTGAAACAGTTTTTTTTGTATTATTGTTGTATTGTAATTTATTCATTGTACTTTCTTGCATTATTATTGTACCTTCATCTTTAGTTAAAGCATCGGGACGATGCCTTTTTTCAGAGGGGGGCAATGCCACGTTCCATTTCACAAGTTTTTGTTATCGTTCCGAAACACCACACGATTCTCGGCGCAAACCGCGCCTGCAGGTTTCGAGAAGGTTCCGGACTGTAGTAGATCATTTCGATAAGATCACGCGAATGTTTCATCTGCGGCAGGCATCCACAACATTCATTTCTTGTTTTTTTTTTCTTTTGCAGGAATGTCTGGTTGCAAGCTACTAGAGACCAAGGTTACCAAGGTCCAGCGCAATTTCTACTGACGCGGAATCGAACTGCTTACAAGCAAGCTGCAGGAAAAATAACCACTGCCGACGAAGGCCATCCGTTCGAATCCTTCGCTTGTGCATACGACACAAAACACAAGGGCTAACATTTTAAAAACTATTTTGTTACTGACGTGACGGTACTAACAGCGTGAAGTAGCCTTTCGTTCTGTTTTCGTTGATTTGTGCTTTTGTGCTAAAGAAGCTGCGGCTTCCGTTCCGGTTAATATTACGCCAAGATGACATGATGCCACAATTCCGAGACGGCCGTGCCGGAACTGCCACACTTATGCTATCAAGGAGAGGTGGCGTCCTTTTTTGTTAACACTTCAATATAGTTGAACAGTGCCGGTGTATTAAACGTAGACAGTGCCAGTGTAATAAACGATGATTCTGAGTAATATGTTTTGTGTTCTTCACGTAAGAAACATTTGGAGTCATTTGGATATATAAGACACTGCACCAACTTCCCATCGCGAGGATTCGGGGGGTGGAACTTTGGTGGTGCCTATCTCAGCTTGCGGGTTCGACATCCAGCGACACACAAATTGGATGAAATGCAAAAGCCGCTTACATAGGAAGCGTAGGAGTCAGTCAGAACACTAGACTAACTGTTTCGCTTCGGGATGCCATTTGTAAGAATTTAGAATCGATATTAACGTGATAGCGTTAAAGCGCGGCGTTTCGCCGAAATTCCGGGGTTGGTGCCGTTGGTATACATAGCGAGCGAAAAATCACCATTTTGTCCGTGATCGAAAAATCGAGAAGATGCAAAGATAAAATAAATATAAAAAAACATTTAATCATGTGAAAATCTAACTCAGGCCCCTTGCGTGGCAAGAAGGTGTTCTTACCACACATCCCCACTATGGCTTAATACTATTTCGAAATAAAAATATATAAATGCTATGTAGTGGACAGAGTCTCCTTAACGCATATAATACGGTGGGGTGGGGGGGGGGGCGAAGCGTAGAATCGCTTCAGCAGTCATAGCAAGTGAACTGCGCTACGAGTGGGTGTTCTGAAGGCCTGCCCATTAGAAAGCTTCCGGATATATTTAATCATCATCAACTGCAAAAACATTAACGATGTGAGTGGCTGCGAATGTTCACGTGTTGCCTTACAGACACGTAGCTGGCACTGCACTGAGTCTTAAAAGGAATAATTATGACGGAGAGAGTACTTAGCAAGTGTGCTTGCAGTCGGAATTCTAGGATGGCTTGAAACGACCAATTTTAGACGCAGAGTCGTTCGTTTGCTTACGACACAGTTATGCACCGAGAACCGAAGCCAGCCTTTGAGTTTTCAAGGTGGTGTCTACGGGTCCCAATTACACTATCGCATTCTACTCTTGCAGAGGAAACTCAAACGTCTTCCACAATTTTGCATTGATTGTTACGTATTTCAGTATAATATGGCCCGAGGAAAATAGGAGGAAAATAACGACAGGGAGGTTAACCATGCAGCCTATAGGCAGCCGATTTGCTACCCTGCGCATGGGAGCGGGATAGGGGAGATGAAAGATCATGCGCATAAAGTCACAGGATACCTTCGAGTGCAATGAACGCAAGAAAGAATAAAGTTTTTTTAAACTCTCAAAAGTTTGTGCGGACCATAAGCACAAGTTTCGCATGCTTACTCCTTTAGCGCAGGTGATTATAGTCGGCAAATGCTAGTGCCAAATTTCAATTTTATCTAAGCCGTAAGTTGCTACATTCTGCCCCGCCGCGGTGATCTAGTGGCTAAGGCACTCGGCTGCTGACCTGCAGGTCGCGGGATTGAATCCCGGCGGTGGTTGCAGCATTTTCGATGGAGGCGAAAATGCTGTAGGTCCGTGTGCTCAGATTTGGGTGCACGTTAAAGAACCCCAGGTGGTCGAAATTTACGGAGCCCTCCCCTACGGCTTCTCTCAGAATCATATGGTGGTTTTGAGAAGTTAAACCCCACGCATCGATCAAATCAAGTCGGTACATTCTATCCTGGTGCAATCAATAGTGATTTAAAGGTGATAACTACGAAACAGTCACTGACAAAGTGTTGTTGCAGTAATCAAATAACCAGCTAGCGACAAGGAGAGTTGTGCCATTTCTTCTCTCCCATTTTTTCTGCGACATAGGGCTTTCTTGACGAAAATCCGCAGGGAAGGGGTAGAGCAAAAGTAGGTAGCACGACGCGAGTGATTGGGATCTTTTCGCCACGTGAAGCGTGAGAATTGGCGTTGTTGGGCGCGTGACATACAACACGCTTTCAGGTTCGCGCGTCTAAAAGAAAAGAGAGAAAGATGAACATGGAAGGGTGACATCATAATGCAACGCTTTCGAAAACGTAAGTGGGACGTAAGCCAGGTGAAACAACAGAAAATATTTCTATTATCTACTGACTTTTCTTTCACTGATGATCAGCTACGAAGAAATGCGAACCGAAATCTGTGAATGCGGAGCATTAGCGTTTACATATGGGAGCGTGTCTTGTTAAGCTGTTACACTGACGCCCCGGTGTAGTTGAATAAGCCTAACACGATATAGGTGATAGACGGCGTCGTCACTGAAGCGAGAAGCGGCCTCATATCCCAAACGAGTGGGTGAGTGAGGTGAATAAGCCCAAGATCGGGCGTGTAAGAGCTACGAGAAAGAGGAGTGAACCGTCCACGTAGCGTGTGTCGCCATATAGCAGCCAGATCACGTGACAACCACCGCACGCGCGCCGCGGTGTACGAGGCGACCCTAGCCACCGTTTCATTTGTTGACGAAAGTGGCTCCATCGCGGGGCGCAGTCCGAAAACATGCTCTCCGACTAGCGAGAGAGAGCGAGAGGAGAGCCATCCGCTCGCGCCTTCGCTGCTCGGTGAAGCCTCGGCGGGGCGGTCCGTCTTGCAGGCCGCCGCGACAGCTCGCGGAGAGCCGTATTTCTCTTCATCCCGGCCTTCATCCCGCCCCTGGGGCGGCCATCACCGGCGGAAGTATCCTAGGTGCGTGCAGTGCGCGATACGACGACGCTTCGTGACCCAAGACAACGCAGAGCTCGGGGGGTTCCCGCCCCGGGAGAGTGGATACACGGAGCCCAGAGTGCCCGCCCGGCAGCGGAGAAGCAGCGCGGCCATCGGCCGGATCGAAGCGCCGCGTGCGTGAGGGGCGCGATGCCGGCGGTTGCGGCGGAGGCCTCGGTCTCTTCGGCCACGACGAGCTGAGTGAGGCGCGGATGCGGACCGTGCAATTCAAAGCCGGAGGGGGCCTTCCCGAGGCCGGCAGCTAGCTGAGCGAGGCGGCGCAGAAGCTGCAGGAAAGAGAAGAGCAAGCGAGAACGCTAGGCAAGACCTCGAGACCATGTCCTCCCGCGACATGTACGGCGGCTCGCAGAGGTCGCCCCGGGCGGCCCAAAGCTCGCGCGACGTGATGCTGGGGCCGCCTAAGACGTCCTACGCGTCCATCTCGCAGCCGCCGTCTGCCAGGGGAAGTCCCATCGCGCGCAACCTCTCCTCGCCGTCGCAGGGCCGCCGCATGCGGCCCGCCGGACCGTACGGCGTGAGCCGATCGAGCAACAGCAGTCCGCTCACCATGGCCACGCACGACTACTACGGAGACGAGCCGGACCTGCGCGTGTCGCACCGGAGCCGGTCGGCCACGCGAGCCGCGCCGCCGGCCATGCGATCGTCGTACCCGGGAGTCGTCGACCAGGACTTCATGCCCATCAGGGACCGGTCCCTGGAGCGCGGTGCCACGGACATCGGGGGAGGAGGACGCCGCGGAGGGTACCGCGGCGAAGACATGTACCGCGAGACGACCATCGACGGTGACCCGTACCGGGACTACGGCGGTAGCAGTGGCCGCGGTGGCGGTGGGAGCTTCGTGGCCGAGCTGCAAAGCCGGCTTAACGAGCTCCAGAGTCAATACGGGAGCGTCAAGCGGGAACTGGACGCGACCACGCAGAAGCTCGGCTCCAGCATGCACAGCATCAAGACCTTCTGGAGCCCCGAGCTCAAGAAGGAGCGCGCCTTGCGCAAGGAGGAGGCCGCCAAGTACGCCCTCATCAACGACCAGTTGAAGATCCTGCGATCGGAGAACCAGGTCAGTAGGCTTCATTCTTCTCTTTGCGTGTGCACGCGATGCGAGCACGTGTACTATTTATAGATCGGACCTCGTAGGTTACCAGAGAAGCCATCCCAAATATTTTAACGAGAATCACACAGGCGACGGCACCTGATGCGAGAAAGGTAAAAACAACTGCGATAACGTGGCTTCTCTACTCCTTATGACATTCTTCTTTTAAAGTGTATCAACTGAACGAATAAGAAATCTTGAAAACGTGACAGATCACCTTTTCTCGTTGTGTTCACATCCAAGTACTGCTGATGGGTCGGCATTAATAGAGATGCCTACGATTTATGACCTCAAAAACCGAGAAAGATGTCGCCCTGCCGTAATATTAATCTATTCATCTGGGAGGAATGAAAGAAAGAAAAGCTCTGTCGTAAGAATTTGTTTCAAAGCATTGGTAAAACACCGTATTCCTGTAAGAATGAAGTCCAGATGTCAAGTACAGACCACACTATCAGCTTAGTCATTCAAGCTTGCTTCAGGAAAAAGAAAACAACTTTTATTTGCGAATATCCTGGTCTTTACGCGAACTTCGTAAGGCGAAACTGGGATTGGAGAGGATGTTCTTACGGCATATAGTCTTCCGAAGCAAGCGAATGGGGGCGTTCTTTGCGCGATGAGTGGTTGCGAAACTAACCCCGTTTCGACACTTTCCCCATGGCCGTTCGACATTCTCTATGCGCCTTCTTCGCCACCCAACACACAAAGGCACGCAACCTAGCTCATGTGCAAGGAAAACGTTGTCATTAGCGTTTTATCAGCATCTTTACTATCGCTCTTGGCAAAATTTGGTCCTGAAAAATGATGTAATCATTAGAGACAAGTCTCTGTATCGCGGTCAGCAAACGCTACCGTGTGATATGCGCAACCGTCATACTTCTGTTAAGGCAGTATAGGTTACTTTCGTACTACAATTGTCGCTTTTGTTCTCGCCTTACTTAAAGCATGCTTTCATACACCAAAAAGTGTAGTAGTGGAACTTCTGGTCTTCATCACATGTTAGTCACATGACCTGCGCGTAACGTCACACATGACGTCATTTCACCGCCAAAATTTGAATGAAAGGAAGGGATTATAGCTGGCGTTGCATATAGGCATCGCTATTTTGCTGAAATCAGTGGGCGACCCGTATTACGTGGACGGGGGGGGGGGCAGTAACCAAACGTAGCGCCGTTTCACTGTTCTATTTTGCAAACTTCAGTATGCTTGAAACACTTTGGCTCTAGCATAATGTTTGCAAAATAGAACTGTTATTAATAGAAATGCCATGGGTGACGTGCTTCTCTATCAATGACGTCACTAATAGCGTTCCTCTTCCAGTCACGTGACTCTTTTACATGTCCTGCTGTTGCGTTCTTTACGTTATGAAAACGCGTAGATCTCCTTGTATGAAATGTTCTTGCACTTGTGTGTTTCGTTGTCGTTATGTGCACGTGTTATGCAAATCGAGACACTCTGTAGGCGTCAACGATCTCCATGGCGAGAGTGTCATTTCTTCGTCCCGAGTAAAGAGAAAACGCGTGTGCCTAAGTTTCGTTCAGGCACTTTTTTCACGTGTACTATTTAGCCCCCGCCGTGTCCACTCAACTGGCTACACACCGCATTTGCATAACAATAGCACTCTGTCAATCTAGCAGCGGCGTCTTTTCTTTGGAAAGGAAAAGCGGTGTAATATCAGGAGAGGAACAAAAACCTAAGCCCTGTGTGCTTGTTTAAGATTACTGTGGACGGATGGGTTACTTACTTTTTTTCCTTTGCCTACGCGCGGCGCAGAACGCCTAAACGTGTCGATGCAGTGGATAATTACGTTCGCTAATCACGGTTTCGCAATTTTATGGGTGGAGGAGAAGTATGAAGGAAAAACAAAACACCATAAAAATGGACTTCACTTCACCATTGGCGAAAGAAAGCTACGCTCTGCATTCTTTTTATTTTTATTTTTTCTTACGGCAAGAAAATATTGAGTACTTGCAGTCAAAGCATTAGGTAGAAAATTTTGAAGAAAAAAAAAACATAATACCTTAGAGATCACCATTTCTTTGTGAACAGTATGCTTGCAGCATCAATCCGTCGCAATGGAGGAATAACTTAGAGGGTATTACGTCACGCAAACAGCTTTGGCAAAAGTTGCTTGAATTCAAGCCACTTTTTCTCACACCATTGGCCCAACACGTAAGCCCTGATTAACAGCGTGTTCTGAAGTGGCGATCTCATTTTTCGCCAGTGCTTTTTTTTCTCATTCTTTAATGGTTCTATAACTGCGTTGCATTGTGCTGCCTCGCCTCATGTTTTCCTCCACCATGCTTAAGAGCCTCTTTCACGAAACCTCGAGAACATTTCTCGACATTCAGTAAAGACAGTCACTGGAGCTATCAAGGCTAAGCGTGTGGACCAATAAAGGAGCAAATTAAGAAAGTGGGTCACGAAGCTATCTGATGTCTCTGTGCGCTATATATAGCCAAAGGCTACTACATATACTCAAGGCACACATCCCCCAACCGCCGTGAGATCAATACGCGAGTGCTACGAAGCTGGACGTCAAAGGACGGCCTGCCCTTAGGCCTGTTGGGGAAAGCCCATGAGTAAATGCATTTTGGCTTCGAGGACGTGCACATTGTAAACTGCGCTCTTCACTGGCATTTAGAATCGCAGTTAAGCTTCGTTCGGTTGATTGATATGTGGGGTTCAACGTCCCAAAACCACCATATGATTATGAGAGATGCCGTAGTGGAGGGCTCCGGAAATTTCGACCACGTGGGTTTCTTTAACGTGCACCCAAATCTGAGCACACGGGCCTACAACATTTCCGCCTTCATCGGAAATGCAGCCGCCGCAGCCGGGATTCGTGCCCGCGACCTGCGGGTCAGCAGCCGAGTACCTCAGCCACTAGACCAACGCGGTGGGACAAGCTTCGTTCGGTTACAGCTCGAGCAAGAGCATCGTAGTTGCACTCCGGTTTCGCACATTACATCGCACCAGAGAGAACGAAAGTTGGTGGACTTTTTAAGTTTCATGGCCTAATTATCAGTTAGGGCACGAAACTTAACGAAATCGTATAATTTGGTGTAGCCAAGAACGTTATTTTTTCCAGACGCCACCAAAAACAAAAAAATGTTTGCAAAAGAAGGCAATCAGCAACAAAACATGCACCTAGCAAGGCCACTTTCATGTTTTTTTTTTATGTTCAAGTAGAAGTGTGGAAACTAGGAAAGAATCGCAGGGTTTATGCAGTCACTACTGTCAATTAATTTGTCAGGTTTTGTGCACCAAATTTGCGATATGATTGTGAGCTATGCCGTCGTGCTGAACGCCGAAAATTTCTACCATCTAGCTTTCTTTAGAGCGCATTCGAATCGCATAGTAAGCGCGGTTGTAGCATTTCGCTTTCATCAAAGTGTAACCGCCACGACCGGAATCGAACCCGTGGTTTTACGATCAGCAGCGGAGCACCATAACGATACGATTCCCCCGCCCCAGTTCATGACAGCGATAAGCTGTGACAGCGGTTATCGTTTTTTGTTGTTTTTTTTTTGTGGCTGGTAGCAAAACGTGTTCAACGCAAAGCCACCACCATCGTTGCGGCCCTGTCGAGACGGCGCAACGGGGCAAACGCTAGGGTTGTTTATACGTGCAGCGTTACGAAGCACTAGAATCATCGTGCGCACTGGCGCGTGAGTGGGTTTGTCACGCGGTATTTTTTTTTTTGTATTTTACGGGCATTTGTACTTAAGCAGAGAAACACTAATACGTAACCGATATAAAATTCAGAACTATCTACTTGGACGTTTTGCAAACCGATCTACAACTTTCTCCATGACATTTTTTTTATATCAATCTTCGTTCCCCCCAAAGTTAATCAGTTAAACAGATATAATTAAGCAATATTTGAGACGACAAAAAATAGTTTGACTAACTCCAGGCAACAGTCAGCTACATGCATTTGTTCGCGTCGTAATTGCGCGTGCTGGCACATTTTTAAACTTACGACTTAAGGGTTCGTTTTCCGTGTTTTGACACAATAATAATGAGATCGAACAGACAATATGGCCAAGGATTGTGTGGGGCGAGTTCTTAGAACCTCTGTAATGTAAATAAGAAGAAAGAAAAAGTGGGTGAAAAAATAACTTGCCGTGAGCGGGAATCGAGCCTACGACTTTCGAGTAACTCGTTCGATGCTCTACCACTGAGCTATCACGGCGGCTATCCCCCCAGCCACTTTATTGGGTTTATATGTAAATGTAAACGTGGTAGTGTCAGTCAGCGCCACCTGTAGCCATGGTGGCGAGTGTGGTACACTCTCTTTATAAGCCTGTATGGCGTCACGTAGCACGTGACGCGTGTGTTTCATTTTGCGACAGTGATCACGGAAAACGCGGTGGCGGTCAACTACGCCACCAAAATCAGCTGTTGTGATTTCACTTCAACTCTTGATGTAAAAAAAAAAGGCCTAGCAAAAAATTACCGTCAGCATTCGCTCACTTATTGTGCAATGTGGCACGCATGACCAAAATATTTAATTTAGTGTGACCATCCCGCATTGGCGCAGAATCGTTTCAAGCCGGAAGGACGAAGTTTCCACGTACCCCACGTACGTTGTCTTCCTTCTGGTTGAACAGCTGTGCTTCATATTCCCCTTACCCCGCCTGTTGCCCTCGCAGGGAACGCGTCTGTTTCTACGCTAATCTTTGCAGGAAACGCTACTCCAAAAAGGTCACGTCGTCTGTGCTCCCTTGCACGGCTGACGTTCGTCCCTCCGAGTATCGGGTTGCCCGTGCTCCAAACTCCTCTGTTGAATAAAGTTTTTCTCCTCCTCTCCGCCGCGAGAGATACTGCCTGAAACAGCTGGCCAGCGTTACCATTATGCCAATGGCAAAGAAGAGCAGAGAAAATGCAATACAGGGGGGGGCTCGTTTCAGAAACAAACACATGGGCTTGCTGCTTACCACGATAACCGCGTTAGACGCACGTAA